GATCTAAAATGCAATTCTATAGAGCGCCCAGCAGAGCAGGTGATTAACATCTATTAATTAATAAATAAAATTATACATTACCATTTCTAATTATTTGATTTATTGAGATCACGTCCGTTACTGCCTTCTTCAGCGTCGCTTTTATAAAATCTTCGACTGTAAAGCTATAAAAAAAAAAAAGACTGAGTCCGCACTCATTTAGGAGTTTCATCCTACATTTTAAACTCTTTTTACAGCCTTTTCCTTTGATTCTTTCCATTAGACATTCTTTCACAATTCCTCCTTTCTTCATGACCTTGCTCTCATAGTAGTTATTATTTAATAAAGCTAAATTTTATTTTTACAATTTTTTAATAAAATTTTAATTTAAAAAAAAAAAAAAAAAACATTCTAAAATTTGTACCAATATATTAATAATATTTTTCCAGGTTATTCCGAAGAAGATGCAGTTTTTTGCGTCAATAATGGCATCGATTTTATCAAATTACAAAGACTTACCCTTGAAGAATTCCAACAAAAGCGTCAACTATCAATGAAAAAAGCTCAAGAGTGGAAAATAGGAGGCTACGAGGTCAGTCCAACATTAAGAGACTGGTGAATCTCGCGACAAAGATACTGGGGCACATCAATCCCAATAATCTACTGCAAATCTTGTGGAGCTGTTCCATTACCAACTACAAGACCAACAACCAGTAACATCACCAAAGAAACTGACCTCAGACAAGGAGATTCCCAATTTGCGGCAAGCTGTCAACTGGCTGAAGATCTCTTGTCCGAAGTGTGGTGCTAAAACGTTCAGAGAAGCCGATACTATGGACACTTTCGTCGACAGCTCGTAGTACCTTATAAGATACATCGATGTAAAAAATACCTCTGATATATTTTCAAAAGAAAAAGCTAGAAAGTTTCTGCCGGTGGACTTGTACATCGGCGGAAAATAACACGCAGTGCTGCATTTATGCTACGCTAGGTTCGTCAACCATTTTTTGCACTTAGAAGGCTTGTTGCCGACGAGGGAGCTGTTCAAGCAGCTGCT